ATCTTTTAATTTTTGGCTGTTAAATTGGAAAAAGATTTGAAGCCCATTGTTTCTGTGCTGTTTTCTTTTCTTATTCAACTTTTCCCCTAATAAACACTGTTCTGTGCTCCCCTGGGACCTTTTGGATTCAGGAACTGTCCACAGAGCCTGGCAAAGGCATTTCTTCTGTGCTGCCTCCAAAACTGGTTCACAAATTTTAGGCCATAGGCAGAAAGTGGGCTGGGGAGGATCCCAATTCCAGGAGAAACTTTCAAATCCCAACAGGAAGCATTATGAGTTTTGTAATCTATGTACACTCCTTCCAGACTGATTGCGTGGTCACTAAACTAAAATATCAGGCACCAAATTGTTGCCTTTTGAGACCAGAAATTAAAAAAAAACAAATCTTTTTGGAGTAGTTGGTACATTGGGCCTGATATCTGTCTTTGGGGGATACTGGGAGATAAATATTGTTAACTAATACAATCTAATTTACTGTCTCCTAAATCCTGTCACCTATTTATTGGATATGGGTGTTTAATATCCTTTCTGGGACAGAGGAGAATTGTCTTTATTTACACATAAGCAAAGTGTGTGGAAGTGTTCAAGGAAGTGTTCAAGGCCATGAAGTGACAGGACAAGGAGGAATGGCTTCCCCCTGCCTTCTCTGTGAGAGTGGGGAGGCCCTGGCACAGGCTGCCCAGAGAAGCTGTGGCTGCCCCATCCCCAGAAGTGTTCAAGGCCCGGTTGGACGGGGCTTGGAGCAACCTGGGCTAGTGGAAGGTGTCCCTGCCCATGGCAGGGGGTGGAACGAGATGAGCTTTAAGGTCCCTTACAACCCAAGCCATTCCATGATTCCATGGCAGCAGAAGCATCATTTTGGAGCTCCTGCAGTCATGGGATTGATGGAAGAACAGCAGCACCAGCCCTCCGGAGCTGGGAGGTCTTTGCTGACCCATCTGTGGTGTGTCCCACCAGCAGTGTCCACGAAGCTCCCACAGAGCCAGCTCTGCTGTTTCTTCGTCCTGTGAAAGTGCATGTTCCATGCAGTGGAGCCATGCTGGCCTGACTTGCAGCACAGGTGGTGTCCCCAGGGCTCCCAGCACAGCTCCAGGAAAGCCTTGGACTGTGAGACTGAAACACACACCACTTATTGTTTGATATTTTTCAAAAGAACAAACATTTCATTTGTTCTTTTGGCTCTCCGTTCCTTCTGCAGAGTGGCCTAAAATTTCCAGCCGTGGTTGTGCATTTTAAAATGGAGAAACAGATTTAGAAACCAGCATTAATTGTTCTTAAAGCCTTTGGAGCCCTTGGTGCAGAGGTGCTTCCACCAGTTCCCTCTGTGTCTGCTCCTCTGCAGGGATAGCTGGTGTCTCACTGCCATCTGTTGTCAGTTCCATGGAATAAAATCCTGCTCCAGCATTTTTTTTTCTGGGGTTAAGCTTTTCGTTTCCTCTGTAGGAATTTACATCCAAGAAAACGTAAATATTTGAAGGATAAAAATAAACAAAATGAAAGGCAATAGTTCAGAGCTGAACTGGCCTTTGATATGTACAGACCTGAGAGAGGGAGGAACAGGGAATGAACACAAAAGATTTCTCAAGGCAGAATGGGAATTACAACCTGCCATTCACATGACCACTATCCCAAATTTTAAATGGCAAAATGCCAATTAAATAAAAAAAATTCATTTATCCAAATTCTTTCCTTTGTTGATCCCTTAGGAAGCTGAGGTTTGCAGTGGGTCTCCTTGCTGGTGTCCTTTCTCTGTTGTACACAGGCAGGTAGTTCAAGAAACATGGAAACAAGGGAGACAAATAGTTTTGTGTGGAAGAGGTGTCCCAGGAATGCCTTCTGCTCCATCTGCTCATGGATTCATCCATCAAAATGCTCATTAAAATACCAGCATTCTTATATCTCTCACACCCTTGGCCTTCTGCTGCTTTTTGCTTCCTCAACAAAGTGCCTGGATATCACAGTGCTAAGAATGGGAATTCTTCTGGACCCCAGGAAAATTGGGAATGTCACCAAAACCTCATGGTCTGGTTGCTCTGTGCTGCTACAAGAGAGAGAGGAGGGTCACAGAGTCCCAGCAAACTGGTCTGGGAGAGACCAGGAAAGATGCCAGAAGAGGGAATCATGTGCTGCAGAAGGATTTGTAGCCTTTCTTAAAACTTTTATTTGACTGGTGTTTGGAATGGGGAAGTTTATGAGCCCAGAAGCATCGGCTGCAAGAGGAGTTTCATTTTTCAAGCAGGACATAAAAGTGTCTTTGTGAGGATCAAAAAGGGCTGGTTGGGGTTAGAGCTTAGGAGACACTTGGTGTGAATCATCTTTCTGTCTATTTTTGTTTGTCTTTAACAGAATTGGTCCCCTCCAGGCTGTGAGAAGCTTGGGAAGTGCCTGAAAGCGCCTGAGTCTGATCCTAAGAAATGCTCTTGGCCTCACTGATCTCTGCATCCCTCCAGAGCTGCACAGAGAGCCCGGAGCAGCCGGACATCCAGCATGTCTGCTCATGTTGGCACTCCTGTTTACACAGGAAGGGTGTGATGTGTGTGTGAAATCATCACTTGTTCTTCCAAAAGGGCCAGTGTTTATATTCCTCATGCTCAGGGTTCAGCCTCCACTCCTCTCTTCTTCTGGTTGTTTCCCTAAATGGTAACCTCAGCAAAGACTGTTTCAGCTGTAAAAGCTCTCTGGACAATGACAACTCTGCCATCACCTCCAAAATGCCATGGATTCCCCTTGCTCCTTCCACCCTTGGATTCGCCTTGCTCCTTCCACCCAACCTGCTCTCCCAAATCTTTGCTCACTGGGATGCCCCAACAGCAGCCATAGGGATGGAGCAGGAAACTCAGAGCTGCCAGAAAGCCCTGCCCAAAGTGCCTGTGTTTTGTGTGCCTGTAACTTGTCGTTTTAACATTTGATTTCCATTGTGAACTCTGGATATCAAGTTGTTTTTCCTTTCTTCCCAAATTTGGGAGTTCTGGGTGCAGCTGCTGGGAGCAAACAAGGGCTTCCACCTGTTCCCAGCTAAGGGGTTGAATTTGGGGAGAATGCCCTGACTTTCTTGCATCTGTAGCTGCAAACATTCCCTAGGTTATGGTACAAGGAAATGTGAGGATAGCATTCAGGTAAGTATTGGATTAGGGTTACAGCAGCATTCCAGTGCCTAAAGGGGCTCCAAAAGAGGACTTTGGACAAGGGATGGAGTGACAGGACAAGAGGGAATGGCTTCCCACTGCCAGAGGGCAGGGTTAGATGAGATATTGGGAAGAAAAATCTTCCCCTTGAGGGTGGTGAGGCGTTGGCACAGATTTCCCAGAGAACCAGTGGCTGCCCCATCCCTGGAATTGTCCAAGGCCAGGTTGGATGGGGCTTGGAGCAACCTGGTCTAGTGGAAGGTGTGCCTGCCCATGGCAGGGGGTGAGATTGGATTATCTTTAAGGTCCCTTCAAACCCAAACCATTCCATGATTCTATTGCCTGATTGTTGGTATGCAGGACATTCATAGGGAACTGGGGGTCGGGTGATCATTTCAGAGGTTTTCTTAATTTCCAAAAATCCATGTCTAAATCTGATTTAAGTCGTGCTTCTCATCTCATAATCCAAGCCCAGCCAAGTGCAGGCTCAGAAATACCCGTTTACATCAGATGTTAACTCTTGACCCTGTTTCCAGTGCACGCTCTCCGAGGAATTCTCCTTGTGCAAACTTTCCACAGCCTGGGTGTAGCTCTTCTTTAAACAGAGTTCCTGGTGAGCGCGGGGCCTTCGCACGATTCCGTGGTGCAGATTCCTCGTCTGCCTTGAAGCCTGTTCCACACCCTTCCCTGTTGCTAATAAACGTGTCTTGAGCAAAACCAAGTTACTCTGGGGCTTCAGGGGAGTAGCTGGAAGGAACCCTGAGCATGTTTGGGTTCAGACTGAAGGAGGGGAAATTTAGGTCAGATATTAGGAAGAAATCCTTCTCTGTGAGGGTGGTTAGGCCCTGGCACAGGTTGCCCAGAGAAGCTGTGGCTGCTCCATCCCTGAAAGTGTCCAAAGCAAGATTGGACAGGGCTTGGAGGAACCTGATCTAATGGAATGTGTCCCTGCCCATGGCAGGGGGTGCCATGGGATGAGCTTTAAGTCCCTTCCCACACAAAGCATTCTGAAATTATATGTTTGCACCACCAGCAGGTCCACTTGACACCTCCATTGTTTCCCACAGTACACATGCCCTCTCTGTGTGATGTTGTGCTGCCTTGGGAAAAAAATCCAGGTGCTCTGTCCTTGGAAACAGCTCGACTTCCTTCCCAGGCAAAGCTGGGGCTGCTTGAGAACACTGCCTGTGCCAACTGCTGTGCTACCTGCTCCGGGCTTTCAGCTGCCTGTTCTTAACCTCCCTGTAATCCAAACGTTCCCATTCTCTCCGTTCCCATGGTTTATGCTACCTGTAATCCCCTCCACAGTAATTCCTAGTGTACATCTCCTGAAGCTGGATAATCCTATGAGATTGGCATAAGAACAGCACTTGAGTCAGCTCTTACTGTTCCACCTCTCAGAAATCCCAGCATTTCCTCCACCAGCAGAGTCTGTGCATCTGCAAGTGGCATTTGTTTATAGTCCACATTTCTTAGCTGCCTTATGATGTTCCTAATTGTCCTTCAAGTATATCATGGCATTTCCAGCTCATCCATAACATTCCTCCTTGTTTTGACATAGCCTGGATAGCTCAAGGCTTGGGAGATTCTGACCAGCCGGTTCCTCAGTGGCGCAAAGAGAGAGACTGGGAGGACCTGTGGGTCTGTCAGCACAGGACACCAGATAAAACCAGTAACTCCCATTTGCTGGGTCTGCTCCACCTCTGCTTTAGTGCTTCTTCGAGTCCAGAGATGGGAATGGAGCTGGGGAAGGGGCTGGAGCCAGGAGTGGCTGAGGGAGCTGGGGGGGCTCATCCTGGAGAAAAGGCTCAGGGGAGACCTTCTCACTTTTTCCAACTCCCTGACAGGAGGGTGGAGTGGGGGGGGTCAGGCTCTGCTCCCACGGATGCCAGGGAACAAGGGACAGGATGAGAGGAAACGACCTTAAGCTGTGCCAGGGGAGGTTCAGGTTGGATAGTAAGGAAATTTTTTGTGGAAAGGCTCAGAAAGCATTGGAACAGCCTGCCCAGGGCCGTGGTGGAGCCACCATCCCTCGTGTTCAAAAAACATGTGGATGTGGCACTTGAGGACATGGTGATGGCATTGGGCTGATGATTGGAATTGATGATCTTAAAGATCTTTTCCAACCTTAACAATGCTGTGATTCCACGATTCAATCACCCAGAATTCTCAGAGTCCTGCAGTTCACTATAAAGATCCCACCAGAGGAGGGAGTCCATCACTGCAACTCCCTGGAAATCCTCATAAGCCCTCAAATAGTTGTGAGGTAACAACACTTTGTGGGGTTTTGTGCTGCTTATGAGGAGTTCACATCATGGGATCAGAGCTGAGCACTTGCCTGGACATGTTCCTCGGTCCTTAGCAATTGAGAGCACACACTGTGAGTGTTCTGGGTGCCTGCTGCCCCTGTCCCCTCCCTGCTGCTTCCTCCTTTTCTCTCTCACAGCTCTCAGTTCTGAAGGTCCTGCTTTTCCCCTGGAACTTGCTTGGACAAGCCACCCTGCTCTAAGCAGCCACAGTGTTTATCCTTTCCCCCAGCACTCCAAGTCCTCATTCCTCACTGAAACAATCTCTCAGGACCCAGATACAGGAGGAAAACTTTGCACTAGAAAGCAAGTAAGTGAATTCACTTAGTGTGTGTTTATAGTAAATGGACACAAAACAGATAATAAATAATCAAAGCTTAATGTGACAAAGCTTCTGCTTTAAATTTAAATAAGAATAGTAGTGTTACAGCTGTTTATCAGGAATAATTTTAAATCAATTCCTCTCCCAAAGATGTACAGATTTAAAAGTTGTGAGATGAAGAACTAATGAAGGAAAACAATTTATCAGAAATGCATTCTATGATTTCACCTGTAAACCAGGGGAATAACACTTTGCTGGGGGAGAGTCTCACTCAGTCGTGGGACTGACTTGGCTTAAAAATAACTTGGTTTGTTTTCCCAGTATTATTTTTACCTTGGATCAATTTCCCAGCCCACAGAGCTGCTCAGGAGCAGTTTAGAGGCTGGAGGGGGACCAGGACCGGGGATGAGGATGGTGCCTGCAGCCTCCAAAATGCACTTTGGAGCAGGAAGTGGCCACATCTGCCCTTAATAATGATCCTGAGCCTCTGGTCTGAAGCTGCCCAGTTTGAGAACTGCCCATACTGGGCCAGGTCTGGTGGGGTTCACAGCCCACTCGGGGACCTGCAGCAGCCAAACTGGTCTGTTGGTGGCTTCTTTGCTCAAGCTACAAGACATAAATGCTAAAGGAATGATGATTTTTAATGCTGTGATGTTCCTTTCTTTATTATGCTAAATGCTAAAAGCTGAATATCTACTTGGGCTAAGAGTCCAAGGAATTTCTTCCTTGCCTTTAATTTCCAATTAGCTGAGCCTCTCGAGCCTCCCTGCTCTGCCCCTGAGGCTGTGTTATCATCCGACCCTCTGTGCGGAGAAGCTTCCGAAATGGATGGAACTAATAATCGTGGAAAAACTCCGGCTGCATTTACAGCCTCTGCCTGCAAAAGTGGAGCCTTGATTTCAAAGCCTGCGGCGACAAATGGATTATTTCGGTGGCAAATTAGTCTCTGGGGACCGACAATTTGGGGAGCTGAGCGCTGGAACTGGAAAGCAGCAGATCAATTCCGAACACTTGGAGCCAAGGTTAATGCCCTGCAAACTATTGAGTGCAGCGATGAAGGATAACGTGTCAAATGGGAAGCTTGGGAATATGGAATTAAAGGGAAAATGGGGAAGGTTGGAACAAGGAGAGTGAGCGAGACCCACAGATTTGTTAATAAAACCTGGGGACTGAGGTTTTGGGTGAGCGCTGAGGGTGACAGTGGGATTTGAATAAAAGAACTAGAACTAATATCTCTGGGAAGGAGGGTTTTGGACTTGGGACAGTAATGGAAGCTGGCAGTTCTCATACCTGCCACACTGAGCCTTTCCCGAACATCATGGACAGCTCCCAAAAATTCCTGATTTCACATAAAGAGGACAAGACGAGGATCTCCTGAAGGTTGGAGACCACTCTTCCCACTTTTATTTGAAATAACCACATGAAATCATTCCAGGAGCTGAACAAAGACCTTTGGAAGGTGAGAATTAAATGGAGTTTGGGGGGGGGAGGCAAGTTTGGGGGTGCTGGGGTGCTAGGAGGTGGTTTTTTGTCTGCAGAGTTTCCAGCAGCCTCCTGAGCACAGCCAGATGAGAAATCCCTCCCCAGGTATCCTGCTCTTGTCCTCAGCACTGGGAAACTTTACAAAAGAAACACACTTTTACTGTCTTAAGAGCTGCTTTGCTTGTCCAGCCTCCAAATAACTGTTTTGCAGTTAAAATGGCTTGTTTTCCATCTCTCTTTACAGTTATAATACTTGGAAATGGACTTTTCCTTTTGTTTTCTGATAGTATTGGATGGTTTTGTATGTTATCAGAGGGCAACACTGTGGTGCCCCTTGAATTAAACTGTCAGATTTTAAGAACAGTTGTAAGGGAAGGACTGAAATCCCATTTTAGGTTCTTTTTTCCTTTGGAAAATGGCTATTTTAAAAACCCAGACTCCATTTGCCTGTTTTCTTTATATCCCCTTCCACCATTCAAAGTTTTGTTGTTGCTCAAAGTCTAGTTGTGTTTATATAAATCCCAAATAAAGGTGGATCAGTAGCCAAAAGCTTGTGGTCTTTTAGGAGGGAGGAAAAACTCTGCCTTCCAGCTTCTGGAGAGAGGCAATCTGGCAGCATTCTGAGCCTTTGTCCCTCTTGGAGTCACTTAACACCCTTCTGGGTGATAGGAGCTTGGTAGCACAATTCCCATCTGAAAGGGAGAGCAGATAAAAGCCGGCAGCAAGGAATGTGTGCCAAATCCATTAGTTCTGGAGCAGACACAAAATCCAGGCTGGCCAGAGGAGGGAGAGGAGTTTTGTGCCTTCTCCAAGGGCCTGATGCCTTGGGCAGGAGGTGCTGGCTTGGGCTCCGTGGGAGGCAGAGCTGGATCGACACTTTCCCCTCTTTTAGGGGGCACAAAACCAGCTCCAATGCTTCTATCCCAATTGCAGGGATCTGGCTGGGGAGCTGCATTCTTCTGCTGTTGAAATAAGATATTTCAAATTTGTGCTTTTTTTTTTTTAATGGGTTTAAAGTGCATTTCCTCAGCTGAAACTGAAGCGAAACATTCCAGCAGATTTGCAAGGAAATTTCAGTTCTTGTTTCCCCTGGTGGAAGGGGTATGTTGAAATTTGGGGCATTTTGTTCCACTTCACACTGAAGCTTTAAAATCCTGAATGGAACAGAAACTTCCAGACTCAGCACAGCTCTTCTAATTGCCTGGTTAAGCAGATTAGAGCTAGTTCCCAAGCTTTTATATTCCCAGTTTCTGTGTTCCCTGGCTAATAACATCTCTCCTGTCAGGATCTCAAAACACTTTTAATTGTGCCTCTGTGTCCAAAAAATAGGCAAAACCAGCTACAGTATCCTGGGGGGTGGGTCCAGATCCCAGGTGGTGGTTCCTCTGCCAGGCACAGATCAGACCTGGATCTCTTGAGCCACAGCCGGATGTCGAGAGTCATCTCCAGAGTGATATTCCAGAGCCCTTTGACATCACATTTGGAAAGGGGTCCTAGGAAAGTTCTTTTTTCAGATGGAAATTGCAGTAGGAGTCAGCACTGTTGTTTGAAAGGTTGGACAATTACAGGGAAAACTGATTTTCTTGTGATGTTACAATCTGGACTGTGCCGGTAGGCACAGGTCATATCCTTTGGAATGGAGGGTAAATGAGGAGAAATTCTGACAGAGATTTCAGGAATGTTGTTTTTTAAACATGTGGCATGATTTCTGGCAGCTGAACCACTGGAAGTCTGACTTGGTATAACTTTTATGCCCTTCGTGGCAGAACTGATGATGACAGAGAGAGGAGAGATCCTCCGGCTGTGGGATGTGAAGGGAGCAGTGGGAGCACTCAGCAGCTTGTCCTGGTGGAAGCTGCTGGTTTCCCAGGGATTGGTTGGGATGAGGGGCCTGGGAACCTCACTCAGCCTCAAGGAAAATGTGGTGGAGTCTCCTGCTGGTAATGGGGATCCAAACAAGACAGGGGTGACATAGACCCCCGGTTACACTCCTCCACTAGTAAGGGGAGAAGCGGGGCTGCCTGGCAGGATGCAAAAGAGCCCTTTTCCCAGGAAATAAGCTCCTGTTTATTTCCGCAAGTAGGCAGATAAATTCCATCATCACTTCCATCTGCCAGGAAGAAGAGGAGTTGCTGGAATAGCTCATTGTCCTGTGTTGCAGTTGGTAAGGTCACAAGAGAAACCCATCCAGCTTATCCCAGGGAGTGAGGGTGTTGCAGAGCCCCTGTTCCATCGGAAAGCTTCGTGCTTCCTCTGTGTTTGCTTCACTGGAACAGCTGCCTGAGAGGATTTTTCTGGTGCCAAAGAGATAATCTGAGTTCAGGGAAAATCTTAGTCTGTGAGGGAATGGCTGTGAAGGGAGCACGGACTGTCTCTGGCAGCAGAGAACTTAACAGGAGTTGGGATTGTTCAGCCTGGGGAAGAGAAGGCTCAAGGAAAACTTAGAGCCCCTTCCAGTGCCTAAATGGGCTTCAAGAGAGTTGGAAAGAGACTTGGGACAAGGGCCTGGAGTGACAAAACAAAGGGGAATGACTTCCCACTGCCAGAGGGCAGGGTTAGATGGGATATTAGGAAGGTGTGTATTCCATGTGAGGGTGGTGAGGCCCTGGCACATGTTCCCTAAAGAAATTGTGGCTGCCCCATCTCTGAAAGTGTTCAAGGCCAGGTTGGACAGGGCTTGGAGTAACCTGCTCTAGTGGAAGGCATCTCTGCCCATGGCAGGGGGTGTCTGGGGAGTGTGGGGTGCAGGTTTCCCCATCACAGCTCTCGGCAGCAAACCCTGAGCTTGGCCAGGGGTGTTGCAGGCTCAAACTGCTTCTGCTTTCTGCAGTGAACTGTGCCCAGATGGATTTGGACCAGATCCAAGGCTTATTTGCCAATGTAAGAGGAGATCTGTCCTCATTCAGTGGATTTTGCATGCCCAAACAACAGCCACCATCGGGAGACGGGAGATGGGAGCTGTGAGATCTCCCTGACCCACCCCAGGAGTCAGTGACACCAGAAGCTGTTGCTCCAGGACCCAGGGCTGTGTTATCACCCCCGTGGGTGTCATCCCAACCAACGGTTTTAACAAACACAGAATACGATTCCAAGAGGTCACACGAGGTGAGAGCAACAGAAAAGCAGCAAATAGTGAAGTCCTGTGGAGCTTGCTGTCGCTGCAAGGCAGGGCAGAGAGAGGGAGGCTGGAAGTGTGACCCCTGGGCATGGGGGTCCTTTCCAAAGCGCACTAGGGACAAGGCAGGGTCCCAGGGCTCTGTGTCCTGGGGAAATACTGCTCCACACCATGCAGGTACCTGAGCACTCTTCAGAGGGAGACTGGGGCTCCATGGGTGTTGGGGCTCCATGACCAAAAGTGACAGTTTTGTGTACCTGTACTCAGGCTGCTGGAGCTCCATGCACTTGGGGGTCAGGGCTCCATGCTCTGGGGTACCAGACCTCCATGTACTGGGGCAACCGATGCTCGATATGCTCCAGGGTACCAGAGTGTTTTGTGCACTGGGGAATCGGGGCTCCATAGCCCAAAGTCCCAGAGCTCAATGCACCAGGGGGTTGGGGCTCCGTACCCCAGGCTGCCGGAGCTCCATGCACTGAGGGGACTGATGCTCCACGGCCCCGGGGTACCGGAGCTCCACGCACCCATGGGGCTGATGCTCCACGGTCCCGGGGTACCGGAGCTCCACGCACCCATGGTGCTGATGCTCCACGACCCCGGGGTACCGCCGCTCCCCGCCCCGGGCTGCCCGTGCCACGCTCTCCCGGCGCCGAGCCCGCCCCCGCCGCCTCTGCCCCGCCCGCCCGTGCCGGGGCCGCGGCGGCTGCGCACGGCGGGGCCGCCATGAGCGACGAGCGGCTGCGGCGAGTCCGCGACCGCGTCCGGCCCTTCCCGGACTTCCCCGTGCCCGGCGTGCTGTTCCGGTGGGGCGGGATGGGATGGGATGGGATGGGATGGGAGAGGATGAGGATGGAGACGGAACCGGGGATGGGAATGGGGCCAGACCAGGGGTGGGACCAGGGATGGGGGTGGAGACGGGGAGTGGGATGGGGATGGGACTGGGACTGGGACTGGGGAATGGGATCGGGATGGGAATGGGACCGGGACCGGACTGGGACCGAGATCAGAACCAGGGCCGGGGATGGGGCCGGAACCAAAACTGGGGCCGAGCCCGGAGATGGGACCAGGGCCGGAGATGGGAATAGGATTGGGACTGGGGATGGAGCCAGGACCTGGAAAGGAACAAGGACAGGGCATGGGAATGGGACCGGGGATGGAGCCGGGCCGGGGACGGAGCCGGGCCGGGGACTCGCTGCCGGCTCCTCTCTCCAGTGCCCATCCCTGCAACCGGCAGTACCAGGACCCTTCCCTGCGCTCCGGAGCTCAGTGGAGCCTGAGCAGCCCCCGGAGGTCACTCACTCCCTCCCCTCCTTCATTGCAGCGATATCAGCCCCTTGCTGAAGGATCCTGTGGCATTCAGGACTTTGATTGATCTTCTGGAGGATCATGTGAGGGCATCATTCCCCAAAATTGACTTCATTGTGGGTAAGTGTTGGTTAAACATGCCTGAGGCCAGGGCAGAGCAGCATGTCCCAGGTGGGAAGCATGGGGTGACCCATCTGGAATTCTGTGGCCCCCGGACATGAGAATCACCTGAACATTGGCCTCTGTCATGTGGTAACACCAGGACAGGTTATACCCTTAACCTCATCCTGTAATTTCCTGAAATACTGGTTTGGATGTTGAAGGTGCCATCTGATGATACTTCAGTGCCAGTTTCATAGTTTGTTGCTTCCATTGTTAAAAAAGAGGGAATACAGAAAGCCTGCCACGCCTAGTCCCTGTTCCAGGCAGACCCTGTTCCAGCTTGTTTTCCTTCTCAGAAGCCTTCTCAGGCCAACACAAACAGCCTTTGAGGCAATGATAAGACCTTGCAGCACACCTGGGAAAGTGCTGAGGAAGGCAGAGCTTGGGCTGGGCGATAGCCCAAGGGTCAGGGAGCACAGACCAGACCTGGGCCAGGTGTCTTGTGATAAGTGAAGTCTGTGCCCAGAGGTGCAAAGTCTCTGATTGTGTGGCCAAACTGATACTGAGGCTCTGCTGAGCTTATCTCTAAGGAAAAGAGCCAGAAGGGAGGGAAATGTGCTGATGGGGCTCCCTGTGGAGCCCTGGAGCCCCTCAGCAGCACATCTGGGCAAGCACAGGAGTGTGGTGTGTTTTCAACCCTCAGAAGGGACTGTAAGAGCAAATTGCTTCTAGAAAGCCCTTTGAATGGGAGGATAAAATGGAGGTATGCAAAGACCCTCCCCCAGTCAAATGGCTCCAATCTGAGCAAATGGGACAAGAGGAAGCAGCCTCAAGGGAGGTTTAGGTTGGATATCAGGGAAAATTTCTTCACTGAAAGGGTGGTCAGGTATTGAAATGGGCTGCCTAGGGCAGCTGTGGAGTCACCATGCCTGGAAGTGTTCAAGAAACATGTGGATGTGGCACCTGGGGACATGGTTAGTGGTGGCCTTGGCCAGGCTGGGGGAACGATTGAATCTGATG